GGATCACGTGAAATTGATCGTATTCACTTGAACAAGTGGCCGTACTTCTGCCAAACAACGGTAAAACATGCACATTTATCCTAATGGTCACCAAAGAAACAAATCTTCGAGCATCTGATCATACCCGATTTAGGTCCAAAAATTAATTTTCTCTGGAAACTTGGCTAGGGGGGTTTTCAAGGGTGCTGATCACAGTGGTGAACTCGGTTTTGCACGAAAGTTCCAAATACTGCGTATTCCGAGTAAGAAGTTGGTTTTGTTAAAGTTTCAGCCGAAGAACCCTCTACGACGGGAAAATTTGGGGTGCTGAGCACGAATCGAGCTCGATTTTGGCCAAATAGACCTGAATTTCGAATATTTCGGATTTCGCTCGAGTATCAGCCAAAAAATCCTCTAACCCACGGAATTTTGGTGTGCTGAGCACGAATTCGAGCTCGGTTTTGCCAAAAAGACTTGATTTTTGAATATTTCGAATTTCGCTCGAGTTCCAGCCAAAGAACCTCACCGTGAGAAACCTGGGTGCTGAGCACGAATCCGAGCTCGATTTTGCCAAAAAAACCTGAATTTGAGTATTCCACTTTTCGCTCGAGTATCAGCCAAAAAATCCTCTACCACGGGATTTTGGTGTGCTGAGCACGAATTCGAGCACGGTTTTGCCAAAAAGACTTGAATTTCGAATATTTCGATTTTCGCTCGAGTTTCAGCCAAAGAAACTTCACCTGTGAGGAAATCTGGAGTGCTGAGCACGAACCCGAGCTTGCCAAAAAAAACCTGAATTTTGAGTATTCCACTTTTCGCTCGAGTATCAGCCAAAAAATCTTCTACCACGGGATTTTGGTATGCTGAGCACGAATTCGAGCACGGTTTTGCCAAAAAGACTTGAATTTCGGAAATTTCGATTTTCGCTCGAGTTTCAGCCAAAGAAACTTCACCTGTGAGGAAATCTGGAGTGCTGAGCACGAACCCGAGCTTGCCAAAAAAAAAACCTGAATTTTGAGTATTCCACTTTTCGCTCGAGTATCAGCCAAAAAATCCTCTACCACGGGATTTTGGTGTGCTGAGCACGAATTCGAGCACGGTTTTGCCAAAAAGACTTGATTTTTGAATATTTCGAATTTCGCTCGAGTTTCAGCCAAAGAAACTTCACCTGTGAGGAAATCTGGAGTGCTGAGCACGAACCCGAGCTTGCCAAAAAAACCTGAATTTTGAGTATTCCACTTTTCGCTCGAGTATCAGCCAAAAAATCCTTCTACCACGGGATTTTGGTGTGCTGAGCACGAATTCGAGCACGGTTTTGCCAAAAAGACTTGAATTTCGAAATTTCGATTTTCGCTCGAGTTTCAGCCAAAGAAACTTCACCTGTGAGGAAATCTGGAGCTGAGCTGAGCACGAACCCGAGCTTGCCAAAAACCTGAATTTGGCCTCAAACAAACCTGAATTTTGAGTATTCCACTTTTCGCTCGAGTTTCAGCCAAAGAATCCTCTACCACGGGATTTTGGGGCTGAGCACGAATCCGAGATTGCCAAAAATCATTCATACACTCACGTCCGAAAAAAATCCCGCAGAAGGCGTTCGCCATCTGCAATTAGGTCTTGAGAACTGGGAGAATTTTGAGGGTGTAGGAGGAATGGACCAGCTTGCGTGCACATGCTTAACCCTTTCGGTTTCCAGAGCAAATTTTTGCGCATATATCGGGTATTCACAACTAAAACATCACAACATAGAAAGCTAATACAGAAACATAATACATCACATCAATAGATCGACCTTCTGCAGCGTCCCGCCCCCGTGGATATCCTATCAGCATATAATCCAAACATCACCAAGTCCGCATCGATGAGTATTGTTAGTGAGGGAAGAGATCAAATTTCAAAACATATGTATATGTGTATGTGTATGTATGTAAAGCATGTTAAAATTTTTCCAAGTACAGCTAATCATCGCATGATCCGTTTTTCATTTGGAAAAGTAGCCGAAACGATATAACTACTATACAAAAGCCGTGGCCGTTGCAACTGCGTTCTATAACAACCTTTACAGATCCTCTAAGGGTCCCTTTGCTTCTCAGCGACCGGCTCATTGGAACGCCCAATAACAGCAGACGAACTCCGCGCGGTACGTAGGAGAATACGTGGAAGTGGAAACACTGCACCTGGCGCCGACGGAATCCCATCTGGTGCAATGAAGTTCCTGATGCCTTATGCCCGGAAGAGATTGCCAAAGTAGTCAACCAGCTCAACGAATTTCGAGCTCAACGAATTCCCAGAAAACTTCACCAAAGCCAAAACCATCCTCATCTACATAAAAGGCGATCCTCTGAATATAAGTAACTACAGACCAATCTCCCTACTGCCAACTGTCTTCAAAGTTCTTACACGTGCATTGGCCCGCCGTGTGGAAGTAGTGGCGATGAAGCTCGTCCTCGAAAGAACAAGCTGGATTCAGGCGTGACTTCTCCACCCGTGACCACATCATGTCCGTCAACTTACTTATGAGAAAGTGTCGTGAATGGAGAAAATCGCTTGACATGATATTCGTTGACTACCAAAAAGCTTTTGATCCATTGGATACGAGGCCATTTGGAAGGCATTGGAGAAGTTCAGAGTAAACGACTGCACAGTTCAAATGATAAAACAACTTTGTGCTGTCGGAAGCGGAAGATCTTTTTTGGCCCTGGGCTCGATGGAGATGGAGAATGACATTCAACGAGGCGTGAGGCAAGACACATCGATCAGAATCATTTTAGCTATCTCGCCTACGCCGACGATCTATTTCTGTATTATCAACTGTCGATAAACTTCAAGTTTTGCTTAGTAAACTCATTGAAGCGACCAAGATGGCTGGGACTCGAGGTTCTAATGGCAAAGCAAAACAGTGGATGGCTCCCACTCCGATCATCCCTACCCCACCCTGCCACCCCTATTACCCTTCAACTCCCCTCAGTCCTAGCCCTACAAACCTCTCATCACCGCGATCAAACGCATCTCAGAGCCTAACTGCGCTCACAGCACCTCTGGCGCTACTTCTAGGCTTCACTCTTTCGTAATCTTCCATGTATGGTTCTGCCACATCCCCAACTTCCCTAAACCGTTTTCCCCCCACATCTATATCACGTATTCCGCTTGGCACCATTAGAATGTAATCACCATACGGCCAGCGCTCTGCGTGGAGCGATTACACAGCAAGCAGCTATTTGAGCTCTCTGCTGAAGAGCCGAATTACGCCACTCATAACCAAACGACGGTTTTTCCACGCATGCGTATTACCCACTCTTTGGTATGGATGTGAAACATGGACCTTGACGACGGCAACAGAAGATCGTATCAGAAAATGTCAACGACGAATGGAAACGTCAAATGTTAGGCCTTCGACTTCGCCGACAGGGTATCGAACGCAACACTTAGGGCAAGGACTAAGCTCAAAGACGCTGTCGTCGAAGCTAGAAAGCGCAAGTGGATCTACGCCAATGAGTTGATGACAAGAGACCAGACTCGGTGGGAAGTACGGCTGACGAAATGGAAGCCCTATGGAAGCAGACCAGTTGGGCGACCACGTATTCGATGGGAAGATGACTTCAAGATGTTCGCGGGAGCAGAGTGGAAGAACACGGCGACAACTTTCTGAATGGTTCCAGATCATGGCCCGTTTCTCTGTTTATGTCGGATGAGTAACGGAAATAAATGTAAATGTAAATGTAAAATAGCTGAAACAAGAGCAAACACTATTGCCGGTACTCAAGCCCGAACTTATCTCCCAGCTTTACTGTCGGCTAAAGTGTCTCAAAACAAGACCTGTCGAAACAGGGAGCAGCGTAAGTCCTAGATGGATAGCCTCTAAGTGCCTC